GTGGATTTGTCAGGTCTGAAGCCGAATTGGTATGGTCCGAAGATGTCATTGACCATTGGCTTCAATCGTTCATACAGAACACTGGATAGCACTTTATATGCGATGGGAAGGAGACTTATTCCTCTATAGTTGGCACATATCGTCTTGTCTCCTTTTTTTTTTTTGCACGGGACACAGGATGCTGAGGTTCCAATCATGGGGCATGCATTCATTAAGCCAAATTGTGATAATTAGCTGGTGCATGCCCCTGACCAGCATCTGGCCACCAGTCTTGAATAGTTCGGCTGGTAACCCATCGGCTCCTGCTGCTTTGTTGTTCTTGAGCCGATTAATTGCTTTTATGACTTCATCTTGGCTAGGTGGTATACACTCTATACCGTCTTCTCTTATTGGTTCTGGGGTATCTTCTTCATCGCCACTATTTGATGCTAGAAGTTTTTCGAAATGCTCCTTCCAGTTCCTCAACACGCTGTCTGTATCTGTCACCAGGTCCCATTCTTCATCTCTACAGGAGGATGTGCCTACACCAAAGCCTTGAGTTTGGCGTTTTCCTCGTTGGTAAAATTTCGGGACTTCATTCTGACTCCTGTACATCTCGATTTTCTCACGCTCACGTTTTTCTTGTTCTTTCTTCTTTTTTCTGAAAACACGTTTCTCCTCTCTCCTTTTCTCCCGATAATTCTCCATCAAGTTACGTGTTGCTACTGTCTGCAGGGTTGCCCTATACGCTGCGTTTTTCACATCATTAGCATTACGAGACACCCCTGATCGTACCATGGGTTTCTTGGTGGTGGTTTTTGGTACCCAATTGTTGCTTTTGCTGCAGTTTGTAGGGAGTGGGCAATTATTTGCCATTGTGCTTTATACTATTATCGGGACCAGAAGTGCTTTCTTCAAGCAGATGGGTAAGTTGAGCGCAGTAGGCCTCGGCTACCTGTTGTGTTTGCAGCTTTTCGACGTCGAGTTTCCGTTTTGTATTAGATCGCACCTTTGCTGCAGCATTAAGACGGGTGCGTACCTGGGTCGTCAACATTAGGGAGGTTTGGCTTTCTTTTTCTTAGCTTTTTCATAGTAGGTTGGGCTTTCCGACGCCTCAACCCATTTTTTATAGTTCTTATGGGTGAACTCGCGGCACATATTAGCTCACTATTTCATCGGGTTATGAGAATGCTCCCCAGGTGGCACCGCGGGGAGGTCAGTGTCCACAATTGAGATGAAAGAGTGACCAAGATAAGCCTGGACTTCGCCATGTTAAAGGCAATCAGAGCTGTTGCTTGGTATCTATCATCCCCTACGCCACCCCCACGACTTGATAACCTTGAAAAAATATTCTTTTAAAAAATACACGCCTTGATAGGCCTTGAAAAAAATCCACGCCTTGAAAAAATATTCTTTAAAAAATCCACGCCTTGATAGGCCTTGAAAAATATTATTTTACAAAATTCAAGTCTTGGTAAGACTTGAGAAAAAATCTTTAACGTGAAGAAAAAATTATTTTTTTTTATTTTTTAAATGTCTTTGTTTATTTTTTCTTCCAAATTGTACAAAAATAACTTTAATTATAATCCAGCAAATTTAGTTTTATATTAAAATTGACCTAGTAATTACAATTTTATTGTGTCAATAATTAATTGTTCTGTATTCATTTCTTTTTTCATCTTTCTATCTCTCTGGCACTTGTCCCATATTTTTAAATCCTCTTGTCACCATAAAATGTCAGCCTTTTGTAAATACAATTTTTTATTGTTTCCATTTTTTGCAATTCTGATGTCTGTCAATAATTTCAAAATGAAATTTAAACCATAAATTTAATACTTTAATGGATTAAAGGAATTATTATTTTTTTTAAATATTGTTTTTTTTTATTTAAATAAGATTTACAGCAACAACCATGAATTATGATTTGATGCATGATTTATGCTATGAGCCGTTTTCAAATGAAATCAATTAACGTTGAGGCGATTATTTATGTTGACCAATGAATTGTGAAACTGATTGTTTCAGCGCACAAACAATTATGAGAGAAAAAAAAACAGCAGATAACTAATTGGATGCTGGAAAATAAATTTCAATTCACACACACACACAAACATACATAAATATAACAGAATATTAATTCTTAAGTTTTAAATAAATATGCACACACACACACAGTAAATGCAAAATATTTTATTTTAAATTAAACAAAAAATAAACCGATGACATTAATAATAAATTTTCTTTATTTTTATTTCAAATTTTCTTAACAGATATCGGCATGGAAAGGATCACAGGTAAGCTGTTTTTAGTGGATTTTTTATCTTTTTTTATTGAAAATTTTTTGGTTCATGATAAAATTATTCTTTAAACAATCTACGTCTTCTTCGTGTTTGTAAAAAATATTTTTTTAAAAATTCAAAAAAAAAATATATTCTTAAAAAAAATACACGCCTATTGTGATGATAGTCCTTTTGAAAACCATCCTTAAAAAATCCACGCCTATTGTAATGATAGTCCTTTTGAAAACTATCCTTAAAAAAATCCACGCCTATTGTGATGATAGTCCTTTTGAAAAATATCCTCAAAAAATCCACGCCTATTGTGATGATAGTCCTTTAAAAACATTCCTTAAAAAATCCACGCCTATTGTGATGATAGTCCTTTTGAAAACCATCCTTAAAAAATCCACGCCTATTGTGATGATAGTCCTTTTTAAAACCATCCTTAAAAAATCCACGCCTATTGTGATGATAGTCCTTTTGAAAACATCCTTAAAAAATCCACGCCTATTGTGATGATAGTCCTTTTGAAAACCATCCTTAAAAAATCCACGCCTATTGTGATGATAGTCCTTTTGAAAACCATCCTTAAAAAATCCACGCCTATTGTGATGATAGTCCTTTTGAAAACCATCCTTAAAAAATCCACGCCTATTGTGATGATAGTCCTTTTGAAAACCATCCTTTAAAAAATCCACGCCTATTGTGATGATAGTCCTTTTGAAAACCATCCTTAAAAAATCCACGCCTATTGTGATGATAGTCCTTTTGAAAACCATCCTTAAAAAATCCACGCCTATTGTGATGATAGTCCTTTTGAAAACCATCCTTAAAAAATCCACGCCTATTGTGATGATAGTCCTTTTGAAAACCATCCTTAAAAAATCCACGCCTATTGTGATGATAGTCCTTTTGAAAGCAATCCTTAAAAAATCCACGCCTATTTTGATGATAGTCCTTTTGAAAACTCTCCTTAAAAAATCCACGCCTATTGTGTGATAGTCCTTTAAAAAAATGCCCTTAAAAAATCCACGCCTATTGTGATGATAATCCTTTGAAAAATGTCCTTAAAAATCCACGCCTATTGTGATGATAGTCCTTTTGAAAACTCTCTTTAAAAAAACCACGGCTATTGTGATGATAGTCCTTTAAAAAATGTCCTTAAAAAATCCACGCCTATTGTGATGATAATCCTTTGAAAATGTCCTTAACAATCCACGACTATTGTGATGATAGTCCTTTTGAAAACTCTCCTTAAAAAATCCACGCCTATTGTGATGATAGTCCTTAAAAAATCCACGCCTATTGTGATGATCCTTGAAAAATATTCTTTAAAAATCCAACCGTATTTTGGTCCTTGAAAATACTCTCAAAAAAATCCAAGCTTATTTTGGTACTTGAAACAATAATCTTGAAAAAAATCCACGCCTTATCACTTGAAAAAAATATTCTTTAAAAAATTCACGCCTTGAAAAAATCTTCTTTAAAATAATTCACGCCTTGAAAAAATCTTCTTTAAAATAATTCACGCCTTTAAAAATCTTCTTTAAAAAATTCACGCCTTGAAAAAATCTTCTTTAAAATAATTCACGCCTTGAAAAAATCTTCTTTAAAATAATTCACGCCTTTAAAAATCTTCTTTAAAAAATCCACGCCTTATCAGACCTTGAAAAAATCTCATTTAAAAAATCCACGCCTTATCAGTCCTTGAAAAAAACTTGTCTTTAAAAAATCCACGCCTTATCTGTCCTTGAAAAACTCTTCTTTAAAAAATCCACGCCTTGTCAGTCCTTGAAAAAATCTTCTTTAAAAAATCCACGCCTTATCAGTCCTTGAAAAAATCTTCTTTAAAAAATCCACGCCTTATCAGTCCTTGAAAAATTCGTCTTTAAAAAATCCACGCCTTATCAGTCCTTGAAAAAAATCTTCTTTAAAAAATCCACGCCTTATCAGTCCTTGAAAAAATCTTCTTTAAAAAAATCCACGCCTTATCAGTCCTTGAAAAAATCTTCTTTAAAAAATCCACGCCTTATCAGTCCTTGAAAAAATCTTCTTTAAAAAATCCACGCCTTATCAGTCCTTGAAAAAATCTTCTTTAAAAAAATCCACGACTTATCAGTCCTTGAAAAAATCTTCTTTAAAAAATCCACGCCTTATCAGTCCTTGAAAAAATCTTCTTTAAAAAATCCACGCCTTATCAGTCCTTGAAAAAATCTTCTTTAAAAAATCCACGCCTTATCAGTTCTTGAAAAAATCTTCTTTAAAAAATCCACGCCTTATCAGTCCTTGAAAAAATCTTCTTTAAAAAATCCACGCCTTATCAGTCCTTGAAAAAATCTTCTTTAAAAAATCCACGCCTTATCAGTCCTTGAAAAAATCTTCTTTAAAAAATCCACGCCTTATCAGTTTTTGAAAAAAATCGTCTTTAATAAATCCACGCCTTATCAGTTTTTGAAAAAAATCGTCTTTAAAAAATCCACGCCTTATCAGTCCTTGAAAAAATCTTCTTTAAAAAATCAGTCAGTCCTTGCAAAAATCTTCTTTAAAAAATCCACGCCTTATCAGTCCTTGAAAAAATCTTCTTTAAAAAAGCCACGCCTTGATTGTCCTTAAAACGTCTTCTTTAGGATTTCGAAATTTAATCCTTGTTGGTCCTTGAAAAAATATTTTTACTTTAAAGGTTTTTCTTTTTCTATTTTAATTAACATTTTTCTCTCCAACTCTCTCGTTCTTCCTTTACAGAGCTCCCTCTCAAAGGCCTTCCGCTTCAATACAAAATCATCCCGGAGCGGTAGCTCAATTGGTGACCGCGCCTCTGTTGGGAACTCCACCTCCCCAACACCATCGTTTAGCAGCTCAGAGGGGGGCGGAGGAATTTACGCCACTGTAGGTGCCTATCCATATGGGAGCCAAGCATACCAGCAACAACAATCTCCATATAGCAATCATCATTATCCACCACCGACTACAGCACCACCTCCACCACCGCCAGCGGCGGCAGTATCAACACCATCCTCTACGTCGTCACAGCAACAACTACACCACTATGCCCAGCAGCAGCAACAACAACAACAATTTTATATACATCCTCAGCAGCAGCAGGCAAATGCACATCGCATAAGTGCACCACCGGCAGGCACAGGCCTGGATACACCAACCGATTCTAGTCTACTCTTCGAACAACATCGTCGTGTCAAAAGTATTAGTGATATTGGAGCCACTGCTGCTGCCGCCAGTTCACACGGGTATGGTACCTCCAATCGTGATCGTATGAGCGGTATAAGTGGCCTTAGTAGTATGGGTCTATCTGATACGGCCAGCATAGCTAGTAGTGGTGGCCTAATGACTGAACAATGTAATCATTTGGGTGGTTCTGCAACAGAATCTTCCAATTCGCCGGTATGAGAATCGGTTATAATGTAAGTCCAGGGCAATATGAACAGTTCATAAATGCCAAGGACTTGCATTTATGTATAACACCCTCCCACCCACACTAACATATTCATACGCACCCTTTTACACAAATGCGTAGTCGGACAGCTCGAACTCATACACACATACATTCGCCCCCAAAATTGAAAGGCCATTTATGTTGGAGTGCTGTCTGTATGTCGTGTCTGTCTCTCTATGATTATGGCCAGCAGAAAATGTAGGTTAACTCAATTTCAGTTAAATTAAAAGCATTTAAAATCAATCGTAGTTAGTTATACTCAATTATCGACCGAAACCAAAACAGATGATGCCCCATGCCTATAATGATGATGGTGATGCTGCTGATGTCGTTGTGGAGCAGTTCGAATACAATTTTGCATTCACATAAAACAGAACAACAACAACAACAAAAAACGAAAAAAAACAACAGCAACAGTAGCTAAAGCACATTAAAACATTCGAACCAAATGCCCATAGCAATTAAAAGTTTTTTTTTTTGTTCTCTCCCAATTTTGTTTTCACTGCTTTTGTTTTTGTTTTCGCTTCTGTTTTTTGTTTATGTGTTGCACATTTCTGTCTGTTGCACACACACATGCTCATTTAGTTTTTTTTTTTTTGCTTCCGGGAATTTAGCTGACCCTGTGTTGAATGTATGTATGTTTGTATTTGTGTGACCATTTGTCTGTGTGTGAACACACACACACACATAATTTAATCTGCACTTCCGTTAATTTTCGGGGTTTTCTCTCCCCCTCTCACCCCTCGGCCTATTAATGGCCAACAACAGTTGCCGAACAAATTAAGTTTTCCAAAACCTCAAAAACAAAACCTATTCGCGAGTTATTCATTTAAATTGTGGCCTATTCGGATGTGGAGAATTTGGCACAAATATTTATATTTCAATCTATAACGAATTTTGTGGTTGCCATTTGCAGTTGTTAGTGGCAGATATTTTTGTTTGGTTAAGACTTTTTTTGTAATTGAATGGCTTAGATAATTAGGAATTAATAATAGTTCGATAGTTGGCTGGACTAATTTTATGTAAGCTTAGCATTGTGGGTTTGAAGTCAGTGAATATAAATATATATATATGAATGGAAATGAATGTTGAACCGGTGTATAGTTAAATGTCAACAAATAAAGAGGCTCAAAGAAACCAGCAGGTATTTGACTAGTAAAATTCAGTCAGTCATTGCATAGTTTTAGGCGTGCGATTAGAAAAATCTCGGTTTATAGTTGCAACGGAATATATCAATGTCATAGATGACTGCCGCTCACTGGAACATCCGAAACTCAAAATTCCAACGCAATTAGAAAGACCACAAATCTGGCGCTGGTATAAACTGGAATTATTGTCTTCGCTCGAAAATTGGCAAAATTGGGGGACCTAGGAAAATTTTTTTATTATTTTTATAAGACATTCCTGAGAAGTTATAGGTGCATATGAAATAAAAATGAGAAAACATGATTTTGATTTTGAAACCGGTCCCCTTTAAATGTAGCGAGCTACCACATCTCCATCATCGAACTTAGTTTATGTTTGGAAGAAATATTACAATGTGCAATGTTTCGGCTACAGTCAGACAGACGGAGGAACGGACACATGTAAATAAACCCCAAATTTTCTGTAACGGATTTGGTGCAAAGAAACATAGGGTCTAAAATCAATATTTCGTTGAAGCACATGTGCGCATATCCCTCCTTAGACATAAGACAGAGGGTATACAAATCACGAAAACATATACCGTGTACAAGGTGAGAAATGTTACACAACTATGTTGTAATGGTATTATAGATTATATAAAATATGGGTCTAAGACCGACCTTTTAGTATAATGGCCGTCATTTCCTGACTAGCTAAGTCGGTCTAGACATGTGTGTCCGTCTGCCTGTCCATTATAATTTGTAAACACACAATAGGTCACAGTTATGGATCAATCGTCATGAAATTTTAGACGGGTTCTGGCCAAAGAAGACACCTATTGTTTTTGGTAATATTTGGGGATGCAATTGACCAAAACCTTTTTATACCCTACACAACTATGTTGTCAGGGTATTACAGCTTTGTGCAGCCCCAAGAGTTTGTAACGCCGCGAAATATTGGTCCTAGACAAACCTTTAAGTATACCGATCGTCATATCTCGACTAGCTGAGTCGATCTAGACATGTGTGTCCGTCCGTCTGTCCATTATAATTTGTAAACACGATACAGGCCACAGTTATGAACCAATCTTCATGCATGTACGATGGGTTCTACCCAATGAAGACCCCTATTGTTTTTTGAAAAGATCGGTTAATCCTTAGGGGATGAAATGGAAAAAAACTTTATTTTTGTCTGATTTTCTGGTCGCTCCAGAGGCCACAATTATGGCATAAACATCGCGAATTTTTGCATGGAGACGGTGATCGGGCCAAAGAATAAGCATGCCTGTTTTGATAAAGATCAATATTTAACGGGTCAAATGGATCTATACTTTTGTGTGAAAATTGACAAAATTTGTTTTCTATGGCATATATATTTACTCCTGAAGCACATAGACCCGAGAAATTGATAGTATATCCAAGGGGAGTTGTTGGCCTTTAAATTGATACCAATTATATTGGCGTATGTACTCGGGTGTGGGAGTTAAATTTAAATATTTACAGAGGGCGGAAATGTAGCGCACATCGCTTTGAAATTTTCCTTGAGGATCCAGACATGGCCAAGGACAACCTATAATTTTCAGTGATGATCAGATTAAATTTTTGGTATAAAGTAGACCGAAAACAAAATTTTTTGTGGTTTTTTTAGAGTCAATATATAGGCCACAAGCCGAAAATCACAACATAACCCACGGTGAAGGGAATCTGGACAAGTAATTAGATGGGCGGTACTGAATATTGGGATATTCGGAAATATGTCAGTGTAAGGAAGATGTGCTGTTGATCTCTTATCGGTGAAGGGGGTGCAAATATCGCGTAAAATTGCCCAGGCTCAGAATATAGAACCGAAGAAAGTTAGAGTTCCGTGGTAGTTGTGTAGGGTATCATATGGTCTGAACTGCTCCGCTCACTGGTTTTAACATCACGACATTTTACAAAGAGAAAGGGGTCTAACAATGGATTTAACATGTCTGTTTTGATGAAAACCTATAAATATTTAACGGATCAAATATCATTAATTTTACACCGGGAAGATGCACCTGTCCAACAATTAGAGTGACACTTTTGATAATGTTTTTTAATATTTAGTGGGTCAGAGATGCTTAAAGTACGTGGGTACCTACCTTGCGGTCTTATCACTTCGCTTATTTCGCATATTTGGACTTGATCACCTTCGCATATTTGGACTTGATCGCCTCCTTGGATGAGGAGCAGAGGCCATCCAAAACTCCTGCCTTTTCAGGGATTATTCACCCGGTTATAATGCAACTCCACATTGAGCCGAAGCACACCCGCGATTTGGGGATAAATCACCTCCAGAACGATGCTTTCCGAAGGTCCAACACCAACTGCAGGCTAGATCCGTAGACCTAGAAGCCCTGACACCTGTGCTGGCGAAACCTTCGGCCAGGTTCATTGCCGAAGCTATTACCAGTAGAAAACCAAACAGTTGGAAAATGGCCGCCCATAGACTATTGCTTCATAGATAAAGCTACTATTATTAGAACTAATATTTGCAGGATCTCTACAATGGAACAATAAAAGGAGATAAAAGCAAAAGTAACCACCATCTCACCCCTCCCAGCAATTCCACAAGTATTCTAATTCGAGAATGCGCCCCCACAGACCAGCCTCTGCACGTTTGAACTACTTCCATTTAAATGAGGGTCAAATGAACCAAGACATTCAAATTTCTCTCAGGAAAAACCTGATTCGGAAAATATGCAAAGATAAGAAAGAGAATCTTCTGACATCTAATCGATCAAGAGGATGCAAATATTGCGAAATATTGTCCAGGCATGGAATGCAGATGCTCAGAAAGTCAGAGTTCGTTGGTAGTTGTGTTGGGTATCATATGGTCGGCCCCGTACGACTATATTTCTCCACCTACTGGTTTAAACATGGACATGTGTGGTTCAGTCAGCTCAATATCAATTTGTATGCCTTCGTCAATACGGCTAATGAAGGTATGTAGACTTAGACTCACCAAAATATCAGTTTTGCACCGCAGGTGTCTTGCCCATATCGGTTTCAGACAGTTTTAGAATTATTCGTCCTCAGTTCGGCTGGGTGGCTCACACAATGACTCTCGAAATAAATACAGAATGCGACGATTTGACATTGCTACGCTTAATATTTTTCAAAAAATCTAAATTAAGTCTAAAAATGAGACCCTTCTTTCGTAGACCTTTCCAACCGAACATTATAATAACATCGCCATATGGTTTAGGGATATCAAATGTGTTATCTTATGGATTCAGTAATTCCCACCCTCCGAATCAAAAATCTGATTAAAATATACCAAAAAGCATTCCAATATAACTTATTTTTAATTTATACGCACAAAATTTTGCAGTTTTATGCAAATGATACGATATTGCATGCAGTTAGTAAAATACCAGTCGACCTGGCAGACAAGCGTAACAAAAGCAATTCGTAATTGCAACGGTGCATGACACACATATGTTCCGTATAATTAAATAGTTATGTATGCGTGTATGTGTGTGTGTAAACGAATAATTTATGATGGTATGCTGAAGATTTAATATTTGCTCTGACCCAACCATAGAAAATATGGCAGAAGATAATTTTTTGGGTGGGAATGGGAAAATATTGAGGATAATTTTAGTACAGTGGAATCACCAGAATTGGAATATCCCAATTATTTAAAATTTTGAGCGGGTTATGCTCTTTTTTATTTGAAAATCCGTGTTCTAGGAAAACTTGGCTAAATTTAATTTGGCAATCCGTGTTGTAAGAGGTTAGGCACTTCTTCGAAGAAAGTTCGAATTGATCCTCCACAAATAAGGGTCTGGTAGTTGCGG